GGGCAGCCTCTTCCAGTGCTCCGTCACCCTCAGAGGGAAGAAGTTCTTCCTCATGTTCAGAGGGAACTTCCTATGCTTCAATTTGTGCCCATTGCCCCTTGTCCTGTCGCTGGGCACCACTGAAAAGAGCTTGGCCCCATCCTCCTGACACCCACCCTTCAGATATTTACAAGGATTTATTAGGTCCCCTCGCAGCCTTCTCTTCTTCAGGCTGAACAAGCCCAGCTCCCTCAGCCTCTCCTCAGAGGAGAGATGCTCCAGTCCCCTCACCATCCTCGTAGCCCTCCGCTGGACTCTCTCCAGTAGCTCCTCATCTTTCTTGAACTGGGGAGCCCAGAACTGGACAGAGCTACATGAAGGCATGGACAGTTTGTAAACCAGCCTTAAATCTTTCCAGATTGGGGAGTGGACTTCATAAAATGCTTTCCAAAGTTTGACCCAGCACTGTCGACCACTGAATAAAAGGAGAGCCCTGGTTTTGTCTCCCAGGGACCTTCACAGCCCCCACCAGAAGGTGGGCAAACATCACACAGGCCTCGGTTCCTCTGCCACGGCCTTCAGGTGAGGACTTCTGCTAAAAGCTGCACTCTTCAACCTGCATGTAAGCACCCAAATCAAAGTGGGATCTGCGGGTACCCAGTGTCTGTGGAAACAGGGCTGCCTTCATTTAGGCTTGTAATTATAGAGCCAAGCCTGAAGCTCCAGGCTGCTAGCTCTGCAAGGTTTTGCTTAATTCCTTGGAAATCCTTGCTGCACTTAGCCACAGAAAAGCACGTCCGTGGCACAAAGAATGGCAGTTTGAGCTAATTAAGCAACAGGGTAACATTTTTTAACTGCACACATGCCTGTCGCCAAGCCCTTCCAAACATCTTGGCTGCGCTGTGTTTTTATGCTGCTTTTCTCCCTAGGATCATGACACACTTGACAATGGTGATAAATCAGCTCTTGTGCTGTCCTATTAGCCAGGAGAGCATCATCAACCCCATTTAGCCAGAAATCTGAGGCTCACGGGTAATCTAATAGAGTGATTGCCCAGGGCAGTTACCTACAACAAGCCAGTCTCAGGAGGGGAGTCCCACTCCACCCACCCTGTGAGGATGCTCTCCTGGAAGGCACAAGGACAATTCTAGGTCTCCTACTTGGGCAAACACTTTAAGCACAGCATTATCAGATTTTTTTAAAAAAAAGTGGTTAGGGACAGGTGAGTGTGTTGACAACATTTTTTTTCTTATGTTTATGTGGATTTCAATCCAAGAATCATGTTTTAAGGTTCAGGCTTGAACCCTGTAGGCCAAGTAGATAGAGGAACATCTAATGCCCTAGTGGGTTGGTCAAGGACATTACTCAACAGCATCAAAACCAAGGTGCATCCGAGTGTGCAAAGCAGTAGGAAATTTCTGACATTAAGTAGAAGGTACTACAGACTTCATGCTCCACCAGAGTTAGGTGGCAGCTGAGCAGGGAACTCTGAGGAATTAAATCTTGGTGGCACCTAAAGCTACAGCTGGACACCAAGAGAAAGGCCCAAAATGAGGAGTCCACACTAATCCACCTCTTTAAGAATCTGGCCCCAAGTAACTCGCCACAGATTGGGCAGGTGTTAAGTTGCGAAGTCAGAAATAGAAAACCGATTCCCTCTCCTGGCCTTTCATTTGAGGGCTTGGACAGATTCCCAGACAACTGCCAGCCATATGCAGATATAAATTATTTGGAAGAGTGCAAAGGCTGATGGACCAGGGTCAAAAGCCACCCTCTGCATTCACTTAGCAGGCACCAGTGGCCAGTACAAACCTGGGGGTTGTGACTCCGGTATTTGCCATGCAGATACGTTGAAATACCCTTTCACCACTGATTCTTCCTTTTCTCCACGCAGGATTTCCATTATACACTGGTTTGTGCTCCACCATCCACCTGCCTGGTAGCAGACACAGGCAGGTTTCTTCCCCTGCAGAAAGGCAGGCCCGGGCTGGCTTCACTGTGTCACACAGGAAAATAGCAAGGAGTGGGCGATAGCTGATTTGGAAAGGCGGTCTTCAAAAAGGCAACTGATCACCACAGCTCCTCTCCCCCCAGACAGTAGCACACACACGGCTCCCTAAGTCAGTCTTGCTCAGCACAACGGGATCCAGATCTGTCCGGAGCAATCATACAGCAGCTCGGGAATCCCACGGATAAAGCCTGGTAGCAGGGATCTGCAGAGGTTTATTTCTCCGTGCTCTAAAATGACACCCTAACTGCCTTTGTCCGGATCCAAATTATTTTAAAGCTTCAGTATTCACAGCTGCTGCGAAGCGGGCAGCAGCGTGGGTCCCTCCAGCGCTGGGCAGTTCAGCTGGAAACCCAACAGCTCCCACTTCCCCCCCCCACTTCTCCATTGCGGGGAGCAGCACTTGCGTGCCACGGGCTCACCACCACCCCATCCTCAAAATCTCCTCACAGCAGCCACTGTCCTCAGATCCTTGGCGCAGGCAGCAAAGCTCACAGGCTTCCTTCTCTGTGTGAAACTGGTCCCCAGAGGCTTAATTTGCAGACGGTAATGGGATTCCACCTTCCTGCGCCTGACAGAAGGTACCTCTGCGAGCAGCCTTGGTTCACCTCTCAAGAAGCTGACCTCTTTTTCTTGAGCAGCATCCCAGTTTCAGTACGTGGGCTGCGACAAGTGTTTCAGGGAAGGATTACAGGGTTAATTAGCACATTAATATTTAATCACGCTTTCCCGCTACCAGGTCCTTGGCCAATATTTTGGCCCCCTGGACCCAAATATACGCTGGCCATAAGTATGACTTTTTTCTCAGAATCTGACTTTTTCTTATTATTATTCCCAACTCCTTTCTTCTGCCTGAAGCTCTGGCCTCGTTCCTTCAATGGTCCTTCCTACAATCAGATTATTTTGGAAGGGAATTGTCCTCTCTTGGCTCCAGCTACAAGATCAAACCTCATTTACTGTCAATAACGTGCCTTTCCATGGTAGGCTCTCACCTCTTTCGCTGAGGAGCACGCTGTCTTCACGCACGCTCTCCTCCTCAGCTCTGCAGAGAGAGAAGAGGCAAGGACACGACAGGAGTCCCAGCTCACTCCTGGGATGGACGTGGGAGAGCCCAGGCATGGGGCAGCTTTTGGCCAAAACAGGGTTTCTGTCCTTGGGCTGGTGTGAGGCACCACCGGGCCTGGCAGCAGGAGGGTGGGTCGCAGCCCGGGGACAGCAGATCCGTCACGTCAGCGGCAGGGACAGCACGTCAGTGCAGGCTTCAGCACGGGATGGTTTCCTGGCATCCAGGGTCTCACGCAACCAGTGTGAAGCCCGTCCCAGTCGATCTCCCCACTGCTGCATGCTGAGCTAGCGGGACAGAAACATGCACTCCCACCCACGGAGCCGTCTCCCCTTCCAGCGCCGTGCGCCGGAGCGAGC